GTGTGCCACCAGCCGTGGTCCAGCATCTGGGGTGATTTTTTTCTACCCTTCAGCCCACCCTGGGCTGAATCTTCATCAACGATGGGGAATTGAGGCAGAGAACGATAAAAATCAGCCCGGGGATCACTTGGGGTGTCTGGAGCGTGGCTGTTCCCACCCTCATTAGCACCCCTCGCTTTCTCACCCTCGTTAGCATCCCTTTTCTGCCGGATCAGTGACCCAGACTGGCTCAGCCCCGGTTGGAGCGAGGCGGGGGGACGGTGGTACCCCGGGTGGGGAAGGGGCTGCTGCTCTGCTCGAGGGTCCCAAAGGAAACCGTGGTCCCGCTGCAATCCACCCCGGCAAAATCAAAATGCTTTGAAAAGCAAAGCGAGCGCCGTGCTGGGCTTCGCAGGCATCAGCGAGGGATGTTGGAGGGGGAGGAACCCGAGAGCATCGCTTCGCCGTCCGGGGGAAACTGAGGCACGCAGGGGTAAGGGCAGGCATCAATTTTGGGGCGACGCTTGCGGTGCTGGGGGTCCCAGCCTGCTCCCGTCTCCTGCCCTGTGATTTTGGAGGGAGGCATCAACCTGGGAGGGGGTGACGGTCCTGGTTTTTGGGGGACTCCTGGGCTTTTTGATGGGTAAAATGAGGGTGATTCCCCCCCCCCCCCCCCAAAGTGGGGTGAAGGTAACTGCAGCCCCTGACTCAGGTCTCCCCGGGACCAGGGGAACGGCGAGGTCCCAAATTCGCCCCGTGCCCACCACCAGAGACGCCGAATCACCCGTGTGGGGCAGCCATGGGCAGCTGTAATGACCAATATTATTAGCGCCGGCCACGTTTCCCCATCCAAACCCATCCCTTCACAGCGGGAGCCGAAACCCACTTGCGTCGCAGGACCGAGGAGGACGCAAAAGCCCTCGGCTGGGAAAACTTGTCTTGAAAAGAAACCCAAATGTCAGCTCTAAATTGGGTGTTAGACGCTCGTGCTCTGTCTCTTCATTACTGTATCGTAAAATTACATTAGCCGGGAATGATCTGCATTCAAATGGCTCTGTGTCTGGAATGATAACGCGGGAATATGAGATTAAAATGTAATTATGCTCTTTAAAGTCGAGGAAGGTTAATAAAATGTTTTTCCAAGTTGCAGAGGCTCTGCAGCCACAGCGCAGCATCACTTACGGGAATCAAGGGGAGGACGAGTTGGGAAGGGGGAGGCGGGGGGGGAGGCAAAAAATGCGTAGAAAACATAAAAAGGGGGTTTGGGGGATGAAAATATTGGGGTCACATGGGGTGAGTCATGGGGGGGAGTGATCTGATGGGGTTTCATGGGGCTGGGCAGACTCAGCCGGGAGCGTCCTTGCGGGGCAGTGATGCTCACTGGTACCCGGCCGCCGCCCCGGGGTGATGCTCAGGCCCCCAACCCGCGTCCAGCTGCTCCTTGATGCTTTGGGGCTACTCGAATCCGTGCTCCAAATCCCCCAACATCAGCCACGGGGGGTCCCTTCTCTGCGTCCCCGGCACCGGATTTGCTCTGCCACATCCCTGCTCTTCCCCAGGCTCTTCCTGGGGCCCCAGAGGAGCCCCCTTCGTTAGCGCTGATCTCCTAACGACATGCGAGGCGGGCGATGCGGGCGCCGCGGCATTAATGAGCGGCATTACCTGCCTGCTATCTATAACCCGGCCCGCCTCGGCGCGCGGAGGAAAGCCCCAAAGGCCTGCCACGGGGCAGGGAGTGGGCAGCATCCTCAAATCCACCCCCCCCAGCCCTCCTGCTGAGCCAAAATACGGCCCCAGCTCTTCCTAGACATCAGCAAAGGGGCAGGGGGCTGCCGGAGAGGCTCAGCCGTGGAGCTTCGCTGCTTCTGCCCTTCCCAATCACTTCTCACGTCAGGGAATCATAGAATCATAGAATCATTGAGGTTGGAAAAGACCTCTAAGATCACCGAGTCCAACCGTCGACCCAA